TTATTACCGGGCTACGTTAAAAAATAATGTCTTAAAAATGTATTTATGACTTGACCAATTTGGATCGTGTTAGTGAAATGGTACGCCTAGGTTAAATTATGTCATCTTTTTATCTATTTTTACCCCGTGTTCGTGGGGACAATCATTAAAAAATCAATTTTGTATAATTGTTTTTCGAAGGGAACATTTATTACTAGCAACTCAGTTACTCAGTGATCATGGCGCTTGCAACAACAGTGCAAAATATCGGGGACTCATAAAATACAAGGTACATGGTAACAATCCCGTTAATAGCTATAATGTTAGTGTCCATGAAAGTTTAAAACAATAAAACTCAGAAGAAGTATAAAAATAATTGACCTACAATTGCGTCACATAATTAATGCGAGCGATTTTATCTTACACACTGGGAAAAACAAGTGAAAAATAATCTATTTACGTTACGCAGCGCCCCTTCCAACTAAGCTATCTCTTGTCCATCTCAACGAGCCGTCACGATGGCCCTTATCAACGGGGGCTTGATGAATCGTAGAACAGCGCGTCCCCATATCAAAGTTGCAACTACCACCCAATAGATGGCGCTAGTTATTTCCTCGAAATGACTAGGTTTAAAAAGTATTTCAAATTACATACATTGTTTGTTATTTCAGTTATATTTTTTCTGTAAAAATGGTAGATACTGACTTCGACGCTGATTTTATATGGAAGAAAAGGTTTTCGTCATACATTTGTAATGTCACAAGGTAGAGATAGCACAAGTGCGATTACCCAAGATTTTTATTTTTAATTAATTCTCAGTTTTACTATGTAATTTTAAACTTTAGTAAAATAACTATATTCTGTTTATTTTATTGATAACCTACCTACCTTTTTCATTATCAAATAACTATCTACCTACCTACTTACCTACAGACATTGCAATACATTTTCTGTTCATCCCTAGATGACTTTCAAATTTAAATTTAAAAATGAATAAACCCACTTTGTTACTTACACAATGTCACGTAGTCAAAGATTTCAAAATGAGATAATATCAGTTCAATCTTTTATCGGCTTGTTTTTTTTTTATCTTATTAAAATTGCTAATGCGCCTACAGCCATCCGTTTGTCTAAATCGCACGTCAAGTTTGTGTATAATACAAGAATGACTAACGAATGACTCGAGCAGTAGGTATTTATTTCATTATGTGAACATAAAGAAATAATAATTATATAGCAAATTATTTGCCAGCGAAATTACTTCCAATCTATAGGCAGATTTACAACATTTATGTACCTAGTACTTATTTCTACGAACCAATATGATTAATAATATCCTTCATCTCGATTAATATATTGAATGAATCGATTCATTTATTTATATTATAAAAAAATAAAAATGTCTTACTTATCATATCTGCCAACTAAGAGGCTTACCTAGCAGGGCCTGGCAAAGTAACTTGACAAAGAAGGTTATTTGGTGTGTTTAACCTATACTATTTAACCAAATATAATTTAGACGCCTTAATTTTTAAATGACATCGTAGTAAAAGAAGGAAGCCAAGTTTTTTTTTCATTTTCATGAGAAAAGATGACCTATGAGCTGCCTCCCTGATTTGCTTCCCATGTGTATAATGTCTTAAGTGACACATATTATGGTAATACTGCGTAGGCAATGTTTAGACTGCTCTTATTCTCGCAGAAAAAAAAACAACAATACCCGGCGCCATTGTCAGTAATGTTATTCGCGCCGATCTCTGCACCTACGCACCTAAATCAATTATCAGTCGTGGCCTGTTATATATTAAATACTGTTTGCGTTCGACGATATCGATCAGAGGTCGTATTGATTAATGGTTCGATGTGTCCCGAATATCGAACGCTTGGTGTAGCAGAGCGGGAAAACGAATCTTGGAAAGCAAAATGGCCGTCCTGACTACGAGAATGCGCCCGCGCCTATCATTGTTTTATATTTAAATAAAATTAGTATTTCAGATATTCATTTGCGAGCATATTTAAGAGATACAATAGGTACTTACATCAATATTTCAATTAATTTGAAGTACATTTTGTTTGCGGAAATATCTTATTTATAAGTCAGATAATGACATGCAAAACACTAGCATAACCCTTGGAAGAAAAACTTCTAATATAATAAAAAATAACCCGCAATATTATAAAATATTAATTAAAACCACATCAAAACTGAATCACCTATATATTTTGGTTATTCACTTATAATTTCATGCAAATATTTCAATATTGTGCGTTGCTCAATTACAATATATCCTGAAAAGATTTTCAAATGTTAAGAATTACGTAAAAATAAAAAAATAAATACAAACTGATGCTTCAATTAAGGTAAGTAAAGAGACCTTTAGACGTTCCCACAAAAAAAAACTAAGTAGCTACCTACCTAATCTTAAATATTGGCCTAACTATCAGGATATACGATGGTCACATTTACATAGTCACATAGTCCTCGACTTTGTTGTCCATGAGACAACATAAAAAAAAATATCAGACACACAATCCACTGTTTTATAGAGATGTTTAATTATAAAAAGCTATAATTATCTACAAATACTAACAACAAAAACATATACAGTACCTTCAACGTATTTAAAGGTTTTTTTTTATTCTGCATATTCAATGTGTTTTTTATTAGTTGAGTAAAATGTTAAGTCATTAAATACTATTTTTGGGTATAATAAATCTGAGAATTGTACAAACGAATCACAATCCTGTTAGGATAAATCCATAATCCTGATTTAAAAGCAAATCTTAATTTTCAAATTATGCTTAATTATTCTGTATTGTTTTAGTGAGCTAAATTTTTAATAAAAACGATTTCAGTTCCATTTGTTTACTGAATCGGGTAGTACGTAGGTAGGATATCCGAACGAAATCACTCCACACAAATCGTCGTAAACATCTTGACAGTTAAAATAGTAAATAAGATAGTTAAGTACCTACTTGTCTCTTGGTGAAAACAACAATAATCCTTACATAAGTATGTAGAAAGCCTTCGAAAAAAATCTGTATATATCGTAATAGTATTTAAAAGTTTAAATTCACGAGGTTCACTTCCCATTACCTACATTTCTAAATATATGAATCAACATTATTTAAATAAAATGTAAGCTCAATCCTTAAATAAAATGTCTAAAATATCACTCCAGCATTGTTTATTGTTTTAAATCTAATAAGAATACAGTGAGCTTTAAAATGATTTAGTTTTAAATTCCATTAAAAAAATTGGTGCAATTGCGCCTAAACATTGTTCTAAAAAAAATCATTACCTATCCGTACAAGAAGTAGTGTCAGACTTTTTGTCTGCTTCGATTTTTGCCCGATTGTGTACCAATGTACAAATTATGTCAAAAAAAACTCAAATTATCCTCAATAGGACTCAGTCATCAAAATCTTAATAAATTCAAAAGAAAATGGTGAAAATCGGAATCAATATATTTTGCAAAATGAGAATCTCCGTATGACGGAACGTTATTACATAAATGCAATTTGACATTGACTGACAGACAACAGCTACATAAATACATTGGTTTATCTATCCCTATTCATTTCTTTGATTGTCATTCGTAGAATCAAAAAATCATGTGTCTATTTTCGTCTATGGATATGACAGTAACATTTTTTTAATCGTCTTGGTACACAGCTTTTAAGCCAACCTTTTCAATTATTTTATTAATATTTTGATGGGCTTCACAACATAATATTCTGTTTTATTCAAGCTTCTACCGATAAAGTTTATTTTTGTATGATTTTCGTAGTTTATTTAAATTTACATATTACCATAATATATTACCTTTGTTTCTATAACTTATATGTTTAACGACATTTTTGGGTACCATTTATTTATTTATTTTATTCTTCTTTACCAAAATACAGTAAATGGTACCATTACTAAAGTAAGTAAGGCTGAAAATATAATTATATGTATGCTTAATCAGTACTAAATTAACTTTTAGAATGTTAACGCGCTTTGTTTTAGAGCCAAAAAAGTCTCTGACGAACATAAAAGTAGTAACTCATTTTTTTATAAAAACAAAGGATATCTACTTAAGTCAAAATTAATACCTGTAGTTGTTTTTAATCCGATTTATAAGTAACTTTTAAGTTTGAAACTTCACTTTGTGGACTAAAAGAAAGCTAAATGTAATTTTGTATGTGCAAAACAGCATTGCCAGACGTCCCGATTTTTAAATCAAAATTAAATGTCTTTTCGGGAATAAATCGACCGTGTGTGCAGCGTACTGAGAAAGCGCGGGCGAGTGGCACAGAGAAGTGTGGACTGCCCGGCGCGTAAAGAAGAAAAATATTCAATAACTTTTGATTATATATCTACGTTTATTTATTTATTCCTACTTTCGACAAACGAATTCCGCTTTTTTTACTGAAAAAGTGCCTAAATCCCGACTTGCCAAAAAAAATCTGGGAACGCCGGTGCAAAAATACACTAAACCCAATAAATTTTACATGGAATCTTATTGGAATTTCTGGCGGTAGTTTGATGAGACATTGCTAATAAGAAGGTAGCCATATAATGGTAATCCTATTTTGGAACTCTATAGACAGCCGTAGGTATAATAAAACACAATACTATGAACAACTTTTTGGTCAATATGTTATAATAAAATGCTTCGTTTTGCAATTTTATAGAAATTAAACCCGGTACAGATTATGAATCGTAGTTAGCTAAGTTTCCACTAAAATTTTGGTATGTTTGTGTTGAAAATCCTTAGCAAAAACTTTTTTAAGTTAGGTTTTGCAGGTAGGTAGGAACTTTCATTTGAATTGATATTAATCAAGTCTATCTACAATAGATAAACACAAAAAGTTCAAAACAATTTTACTTCACAAACTTCGACAGTTAAACTTCACTTCACCTATCTTCAAAATAAAACTTATCTGAGGAAAAAGTTCATCCAAAATTATTATAGAAACAAATAAATGCACTTCCTATGAGATTCAAATAAGAAAATTTTAAAGTAAATATTGACCTGTGAGCATCGCCCGCAGAAGACTGCTAAGCTAGTATTTGCGGCATAGCATAAGCACGCACAGTCACTTTTGCACTTGTCCAATATCCGATAATAAGTAAACTCGAACAGCACTAGAGATGTCAGTCAAATCACAAGGAACTATTTAGTCACACCATAACACCCACTGAACTGTTAATGAGGAACTAAAGTTGTGTTGGTGTTGTATCGTTCCGATTGTTGTTTGCGCGACGCGCGCGACGCTTCGCTGTCAACGATCGCCGGCTAACTGCGCTGCCGGTCGCTGCGGCCCCCCGCCCGTCGCCGCGCTCGCCGCGCTCGCCCCGCGCGCCTCACGGGGCGGGGCCGACGAGCGAGTCGAGGCGAGGCGAAGGCTTAATTACGCTCAGCGGCCGAAGAGAGACGGAGATAGCGAGTGGGCGCGAACTATTAGCACGCGGAGAGCGGGACGACGCGCGTCTTTAGTATTTTGTATAAGTAATGAGGGGCGCGGGGGGTCGCATCTCCCGCCAATCTTTAATGTTGATTACGCCGCCGCCTATGTGCGCCCCTCATTAACGCTCGGCCCCGCCTTGATTTAATTATGCTCTCGCTTAATTGTCAACGCTCGCGCTATTCAATTGTTTTTGTCCGAATGGCGAGAGCGCGGACCTGTATTTGAGACTTTTGTTTGTTCGCCAATTGTCCCATCGCTTTTTTAATTGGCTCTTCACATTTTTATTTGACAGCCAATGTTGAAGTAAAATGCCTTTTGTGAGTGGAATATGTTATGTCAATTGATTAGTGATACAAGGATTACTGGAGAACGTCTTCACCCACAAGAAATTTTATACCATGTGGCTTTTGTTATGAAATATTATTTTATTGAAGTACATCTACCACACAATAGACATTTAGATTTTCTGCATCCAGTAATTTAAAAACGATGAATACCTATAATATTGGGCTGATAATGAAAAAATTAAAAGCTTAAGTAGGTATGTCTACACTAGATAAACTAAACACTGAATAAAAGCTTCTAAAAATTATTATAAGAAAAATGGAAATTTAATCTTTAAAAGACTTTATATTTATACATAAAAAAATATTTTAAAACTATATAGTTTCCATAATTCTGAATTAACTCAAAATCGCCAAAAAAGGATATAGGAATTTCGTTATGGAAGTGTTGTTTTGTTACGGACGTAAAAATAGCTAAACTGACAAAAGCAACACTTTATTTAAGAAGACTTGGGATTACTTTGAGATAGGTATTGGGATATATATATTTTAAAAATATCTTAAGTGTATAGGTAAATGGACATTTCAAATGTTGAATATCTAATTAACTAGTTTTTGTTTCGTAATAAAATTTTAGGTATTTTTACATGTTATATTTTTATCGAAACAGTTGAATACAAGTTTGAAATATTATAAAAGAAAACGACGCATGAAAGGGGTTGTTGTTCATTTGTGACAAAGTTTATTACTCCATACTATGTCATTTAAGGTAAATTTGTCATTTTAGTTTTTACCATACATTGAAAGGTTCTTTCACAATAAAAAACTGGCGAGTTTATAAGATAAGATACCTACCTTTTTCGTGACGAATTAACTTTGTTTGTAACTAAGGTTATAAGCTAGATAATTTTAGGTAATCACAATTTTTTCTCTTTATTTAAAAATTTAACCATATTATATTATTATTCATTTCTATGACTAAACTGTCTTTTTTAATGTTTTCCCGTACAAAACAATTCCATAGGTGTTCACAGAATGCACCAATGAAATACCTATAAAACGTTCTCAAAATAAACATGACTTTTACGAATATGAAACAATTTATTTATATGTATTATTTTCCTTTCTTTCGTGGGGAATTCCATAAGTACTTATGTAGGTACTACCTAATTGGCGACATCTAGCACCACAGAATACATAGGCATCTGAGATAAAATTAATAAAAATAAATAAACTAAATATTTCCAACAATCACACCAATTAGCCTAGCGCCAAAGTAAGGACTGTAAGGCTTGTGTTATGAGATACTAGAGTAACGGATAGAATACATATACAGTACATAGATAAGTATATTTATATAGAAATACATATTAAACATCCATGACTGGAGTACAAAAGCTCGTATTCATCACACAAACATCTGCTCACTCCGGGATTCGCACCCGGGACCTCTTGAGTAGGCGACACCTTGAAACTCGGCGTACAAATCACACAGCCACTCGGCCACGGAGGTCGTCTAAATTTGAGATAGTCGCATAGGTCGCCTTATATTAGTAGATTAATATAAATAAGCAGATTTATCGGAAAGGTGTGAAACTTTAATAATAATAACTTATCTTTTTTTATTTTACTTTATAACCTTTGATATTTTTTAACTAACCTAAGCGTTACTGAAGCAGAGATCAACTGTAATGCTAGTGGTGTCGATTCTGTAACAATTCCCTAAACTTTCTTCCCTTAATTAGTTCCAATAAATGTAATTTCATTTTTCACTTTAAACTAAATTGAAAATCAGCCTCTCCTTTTCATTCTGTATAGAGAATGACAAGGGTACACTGTTGTCAAATTTAAGTTTAGGTTTAGAGAATCATGCCAGAATCGAGACCATTGTATTGTGATTGTATTCTTAAAGTGGTGGTAGTTTGGTGTACCTAGTATAGAATTCAGAATTACTTTTCACTGGAAATAATTTAGAGAGTGATATTGAATTATTCAAAAGGCATATCACCGTATCTCGCCTACTTATTTCTTGATTTAGGCAGGCAGAAATAAGTTTGGTAATGCTTTTTGTTACGATTTTTAGGAAAAACTGGTCTCAAAATTATTGGGATATAACTAAAACGATCCTTAGGACGCTAAAATGTCTGTAACTAAAAACATTTATTTTATATATCGATGAAAACTTAATTTAAGTACTATCGAACGAATTGATTCCTCTTCCCTGTAGCATGACCACCACAATTCACATTCTATCACGTTTTTTATCTCGTCTTAATGTCAAACTCCATAGTAATTTGACAATTAAGCGTGAATAAATAAAAATAATTAATAAAAATGAGCTATATATCATATCACAGTGCTCATGCTAGGGGGACTGACCCACTTGCCTGATAATTCGCTTAAAATTTTCAAAACAGACAAGTTTTGTTATAAGGAGAATGTGTGTTTGAACTAAGGACCTTCTAATAACAAGAAAACTGTATTAATATGTTACAAAGATCTTTGAAATCCGACATTTCTTTTCAATGCAATAGGCCATCATATAGATGTAACATTAATAATTGACGAATTTCGAAATAACTTTTAAAATCATAAATGTACCAGAAAGTCTTTTCATTTCTTTTTAAAAAGAAAACGTTAGAAAACTATTCAGGAAATGCTTAGTCTATGAGTACAACACCAATTAATGTAACGCCAACATTATGTCACTTGGAGTCGGCAAATTCTGTCACATCAAATATGATTGTAACAAGTTTGTTTCCAGGGATTTGTACATTTAAGCAAACGTCTACCTTATTGTTTTGCCAAGGTTGTAAGAAAATAAGCTCATGGTGGGTCAGGAATCAGATTGGCTGATAGTTTGTGCCTACTAACAGCTAAGCTGATTAGTAGTACTTACTGAGTACTGTAGGTAGTCGCTATGTAAGTATTAGCCATATTAAGAGAAATATTTGTAAAGTCATTTTTTAAGTAAGTAATGGTGATTAAAACCTACTTCAGCATAGACAAAATATTGCCTTAGATAGGTATGCCCGATGTAGTTAGTATCGTTTTTTCTGTAATTTGAAAAAAATATACACCATTTCGAATTTTACAGCATATTATATTTTAATTTAATGCAATTAAGTGAGTGATATGTAATTCAAAAGAAAATTTTGCTTGAACAAAAAATATCTGTGATTTCTAATTATTTCGTTGCAACTAGATACCTACTAAATGGGATGTCTAAAAATAAAGTAGTTCAGATAAAATACATTCTTTGCCTCAGGTATTTCCTATGTAAGGCGATTATGACTACTATGATTTACCAATCATAGTCAATTATATAAAAATTAAAAAAAAAATATATTTCGGCCAATGGAACAATTAATACATGATTTTAATAAAAGCTATTTTAAATGTTAAAAATAGGCAAGCACTTGTTTTATAGTTATTCAAAATGAAATATAAATTCTAAAACATTACAAACAAAATTGAAACTCATTATTTACCTTAACTTAAAACAAATACAACTTAATCATTTATATTATTATTAGAGCTCACGTTCATAAAAATCATGATGGTGATGGAAGGTATTTAATTGAATACAGCTAGGTAATATATACATAAATATTATGGGTATTGACTGTACTTGTGACAAAATATGTTAGTGGTTTTAATATTTTATTTAAAAGGACACCTCACCTTGTGGTGTTAATATATATATTTGTCAAAGCAGAAAGTTAAGTGTTTGATATTTAATTAAATTACTGAGGCTAATTTACAAATATCTATAGTTTTTGTATTTTTAAAAATTTTATTTCTCCAGATATCAATAAAAAATCACAAGCTAATCATATATTTTTAATAAAAATGAATGAACATTACTTTTGGTCACGCTGTAACTTTAGAACGATTTTTATAGATTCCACTCATCTTTTTTTATTGTTTTTTAATATTTTGTAGAAGGTTTATAAGTAAAAAAAATAATAATAAAAAAGTTGCGCGAAACTAAAGTTACTACCATGGTCCAACTGATAATTCAGTATATAATAATAAATTATTGCGATAATATTCTATCGATGCCTATTTATCGCAAAGAAAATGACAGTTCCAACTAAAATCAAATGACTTCTTTGAGTGCGGGCGTTTGTCTTATTAAAAAATCTTATAAGGTACATAGATAAACTTTATACTTAGCTACGCTTTCGCACAGGTTCTTTTTCTACTTAGAAATTTTCCCAAATTTTGCGACATAAGAGGCTTTAATTTTAGGTAGCCACTTAAATTAATAATGTTACATTTTTGCGACTAATATCTACGTACTTACTATTTCAAAAATATTTTGAGTTTAGTCAAAATTATGAGTTAATTTAAATAAAACTAGTTTTAAATGCACGAAACCGTATTTATTTATGACATTGCGCAGCACAGAAAAAAATCTGACGATGCAGAACCCGTTAAAACTAGTTTTATTTAATGAGTGGTGTGCGTGAAAACTTAAGAAACAAATATGAGTTACTTTAACAAAAAACTTATAGCTTCCTATATTACTTATATAATA